GTTATTATTATTATTGCCTCAGAACCGGCCTCAACAGGAATGATCCAGTCAAGTCAATCGACAGCTGGTCAAGGGGACTCGGCCGTCGTCTTCGGGTTGGTTCGACTTTCTAATCTCTTCACCAAACACTTTCACTCGAAATGCAAGTGAAGCCACCCATTTGAAAGCAATACATTGCTGGAAATGTAACTTTGCTTCGCAACCCGGTCAAGTCAGGATGACATTGTCATTTGGTAGACATGGCAGTGGCATGGCAGTGATGGAGAGAAATCTCTTCTATCAGTCCTCCACTCCCCTTTGACTTACTAATCTCCCATTCAACCATTGCGTCGTTCTCTGTTCGGCGTTACGGCACCACTCGGCCTCAGCGCCAACTCGACAGGCAGACGCAGGCAAACGACACCTTAACAACGTGAAATGGACTCACTTTGTCGGCGAAACGACGTGAACCGCATCAGCCGCGGTGAGATGGGCCCGTTGCCGGCGTCCTGACCGTCCGCTTCGATGCTTTGGAGACGCGAATTGAGGCCGGCCGAGAAGACGGAGCCGGTCGACGACAACTGCTGCCTGAGACGATGTGATCCGGCCGTGTTGACACCACCCCTGGCCGCATGGAGACTGCCGTATCGTCGGAACCCGCAGCCGGATGGGGTGGGTGAGACGGCGTTGGTGGCGGCAGCCGCAGCAGCAGCAGCAGCAGCAGCAGCAGCCGCATGCATGGGGCGTGGGGCGTGAATGCCGGTTGCGGGATCGGGTGGCGACAGGTCGTCGCGAAATGCCACCGGATTGGGAAAGGCCGACAACACGGAGAGACCGGCGTTGCTATTCGCCCGCGACCGACTCATCCACGAGGGCGCCTGAAACAGAGTGTAGTCGCCGGGACCGGCCAGAGCCGGCTCGACGCTGCCCAAAGAGCTCATTCGGCCGAGGCTCCGAGTGTCCACAACCGGTTCAAGGTAATCCTCGACGGAATGTCGCGCGCCTGTGTGAAACTCACTTCAAACAAGTGTCTGGACGAACATGTGGATCATGCTAATTCCGGCCAGTCGGAGTCCACATGGTCGACTTAGTACCACTTCACCTGGTGCACAGCGCCAGTTTACTGGCTCGAGAGCAATACATACAAACACACACACACACACACTACTTTGCTGTGACGTATCTGGCCAACTCCTGTACTTAATCTCTGTGTCTCTTTCGTTCTCTCACACCGTCTCGCCAGGTTGAGCCTACTCTCGCACCTAGCGCCAGCTGTAACACT